CGGAACCGCCTGAAAGCCCAGGTGCTCGGCAGAGCGTTCCCTAGTAACCACAGCTGGCAGGTGCCAGAAGAAGGAGGTGATAAAGAGGTTTCTAGATCTACTGACCTGTCTGTGGGCGCTCGGTGGTGCAGCTCCTGTGGCTGTTCTGGCAGCCCCGCGGCAGTTTGGTCATAGAAATAGAGATGTGAGAACAGACCTCAGGGCCTAGCTGATGGGGAACTGAGAAAGGGTGAATTTTCCCTTTTTCTCACTAGTATTTTGTCAGCAAAATGAAGTTCATTGGTGCTTCACTCATTTGTTGAGAAAAATTTGTCTGTGATGCCTATGCCAGATGTAAATAAAGTCGGTTTTATGATTGCCGATGAACCCTCCCCTTCCCCTTTTTTGTTTTGTAACGCCTTCATTTGATTTGTGACAAAACGTAGGCATCACCCCCAAAAGGTCTCTAAATTCAGTCTCTAACTGCTGTTAAAGAGACCCTTTTAGACCCTTCAGGCTGTTCAGTGTTCACCTAGTACTTGTGAAAACTACTGCCGTTAGTATCTTATCCCCACAGATAACAGATCCTTTAGGCTGACCGATCTCCTTGGTTCTACAGATCAGACTTGTGGTTGAAGAGGGACTGAATCAACTGCCGTACACAGAATGTACCGTGACCACGCCGACAGGTACGTGGGACGTGACTCCTCCCCTAGGCAGGGCTGGAAGCGGAGGCTTAACTAATGTAAAAAAAATACAGAACGGTTACAAGAATCATAGAATGGAAGGGACCCGTAAGGATCATCGAGTCCTCGCAGGGCCGCCTAAAACTGAACCACGTGACCAAGAGCATCTCCCCGACGCTGCTTGAGCTCTGTCGGGCTTGGTGCCGTGACCGCTGCCCTGGGGAGCCTGAGGCCGAAACAGTTTAACGTTCAGGGTGGAGTACAGACTTACGGTCCCTTCCGGTGTTTAAAAAGCTAGAAGGTGCGTAACAACGCAATTCAACAAAACATACAGTCATGTAGTTGTCATTTCACTAAGGTTTTAAATTGGTCTTGGAAAACTGTGATGGAAATTTAGCAGTGTATGCGCAAGATCAGTTTACTTGCCCATACTGCAGTGTTGAATTAAAACTGATGACATTTCACATGCCCATTAAAGAAAAAGTACTCGGCACAAGCAGTTTGGCCACGCCAGCCTAAATCCGTCTCTGTTTGCCACTGGGGGCCAGCCGGGAGCGATGATGAGCAGGAAATAAAAAGTGGCTGTGCTGACGCTAGAGGAAACCCATTGCAGTAATTTTGGTTTGCTCCTATTAACTGGAACGATACGTAAGGTTGCATGCACTGCTCGGAGGTCGCTGCTTAGTGCGTCAGCAGCTTCTCGGGAACTGCTCGAGTACGCGCTGTGCACCCACAGCACACTGCAAGGCACCCACAGCCCAGTCCTCTTCCCCCTGAGAATTTCATTTGCGCTTCTGCAGGGTGAGAGCAGCTCTGTACCTTCACACCCTCCTCCCCTCTGCCCTTCGCAGTAAATCATTTGTATGTCTTTACTTTTAGTTAGAGAAAAGATGGACTGAAAACACTCAATTCTGACACTAGGCAGCGTTCAGGAAGGCACTCGGGAGGCGCAATCGCTTACCTTTGTTCCTTTTTCAACAAAACGGCAGCTACTTCACTCCTGGAGCACTGGCGTCACAGCTGTTCCAGGTCAGTCGGTGACGGACAGATTGATGACCGTCTTCTCTCTGCTTCGCACAATTTCACTGGCAGGGCCCCTGCAAGTAACATCTCTTGGGAGCCCTGCAGCTCTCCCTGAGTGGGCCACTGCCCTGGCCGCGGGCAGGGAGAGTCTCGGACCTTCCCCTCCGAGCACACGCTGCCTTGGTGAAAAGGCTTGGTTCCCCGCCCTCACTCCTGGCCCCGCTGTAGAGTCTTACTGCCCGACGCTGCCTTAGCTCCGCAGTCAGCGTGTTTGCCCTTGCGCTCCAACCCCTGTGCCCAGCGAGGGAGCTGAAATGGCCTCAGCTGAGCCCTTCCCGGAGGAAGCGTCCCTTGAGAACTCGGGTGCTTCTGCATGAATTCCCGCGTATCTGCACTCAGCTCCTTCCCTCCAAGCATTTGTAAGACGCCATAAGCACGGGCGATTCCTGCTCTTCTGGGCTCAGAGCAGAACACCCCTCAAGGACAGCAGCGAAACACCCTACTCTTCCTCCTTCAAGGGAGCCTTTGGACTTTTTTCAGTCAGGCAGAGGAATACACAACGCCTGTAAGGACATCACCACGGGTTCTTCCCAGCAGCGCTGCTGGGCAAGCTCGTTACCAGCTTCTGGGGTTAGATCTGAAGAACTGCGACTGGGACAGTCTTGCTTTGCTGGTTTTATTTTGGAATTAACAAGGGCCCTGAGCTCACAGTACTGATCATCCTGTCTTTCTCATACGCATACCATTGCCCACTCTTTTCTTTCCCTGATCAAGAACACGGCGACAGTAGCGTTGTACGATCATATTTCAGTTCTAACACTTCCACCTGCAGCGCTGGGCTGCATTTTCCCGGCTTCTTAGGGGACACGCTGTTTACCTTTATTTTGCGTAGTGTCCTTCATTTAAAATAATCACAGAATACCTGTTATGAGACACACACTTGGGAACTTCTGTGACGCTTTTCGTGTCAGACTTTTAAAGGTAAAAAAAGCACCAGCTCTCACCCGTTACGGTTTCGGCCCTGTTCCCATTGCCTGTTTGCGGGCTGCAGGATGCGGTGCGCAGGTCGGTTCATGCCGCGGGCTGAGAGATGTGGAGCTCGCTGCTGTCCCCTGGGTACTGGGAGATCTCGGTTCCATTCCCACCAAGGTCACTTAAACCAGCGTCCCCCAAAGGGGCACTGAGGTGAGGCAGAAGATAGCGGTGGCTGCCACTGACGTCTGCTTTCTTTCCTCCCACAGGACACAAGTACGAAGGAGTCAGATTTGAAAAGGGAAACTGCGGAGTCAGCATAATGAGAAGCGGTAGGCAGTTACTGGTTGTTGAATGAGCGCGAATTAAACCAACTGTAAGCAGCTCCCTTTCAAAAATGTGCACCAACACTTCTCCACAGCAAAGTTTTACCCAAACCTGCCAGCTGTTGTTCCTTCTTAGGTATCCTTGATCACAGAACGTCAAGCACTGCGTTTCATTAACTTCTTAGGAGACAAATAGCTGCAACAGGTTCCGTCTGGCCTCTCCTCTAGCGACTGCTGACTGTGAGAGGCCAGGCCAGCCGTCCTCCCCTGTTTGCCGCTACCCACTGCTCAGAGACAGCTCTCCAGATACACCCCGCTTGGGGCGGGCACTCACTGCCATTCTGCCCAACGCTGCGGGAGCCTTTGTATCTGGGAGGTGAAATCCAGTGGCTCCGCAGCTTCCCGCACGACATTTTGCACCGTGGTGTCTCTGGGCAGAGCTCAAAGACGTTCTCCAAACCCCAAACCTTTGTTTTGACGTTTCCAGCTCTCGCCTTTGAGAGCTCAGCACTGGTGTGCGGGGACACCAACACCCAGGAGCTAAGTAACGCCAAGGAGACCGGTTTTTCTGTCTAAGCAGGGAAAAAAGGAAAATAGCTTCAAGTGTTTTTAACAGGCAGAACCGAGGAAAAAACGATCTTCTTTTTGAAACTCTTTGCCAGTATTGGGACTGCCTATTTAATCGTAGCATCTTGCACTTGTGCCGTTTCTTAGCGTGTAACAATGCGTTGTTGGGTTTTTTTGCTGCTCATTTTGAGGAGAGGCAATGGAACAAGGCTTACGAGACTGCTGTAGATCAATCCGCATAGGAAAAATCCTGATACAGAGCGACGAGGAGACTCAAAGAGCGAAAGTGTACTACGCTAAGTTTCCACCCGACATTTACAGGAGAAAAGTTCTTCTGATGTACCCAATACTAAGTAAGTGCCTTTCATCAGTGTGTACCGCTAGACTCATCTGAACAGTGAGCTCGGCGCTGAGTTTAAAGGACAATGGCCACCGTTCAGGGGCTTTGCTCAGGTTTTTTGCTTGGTCTAGGTGACACAGTAGGGAATTTATCGGGCTGTGCCAGAACGCGTATTAGTCGGCCTGCGCCACCACGAACGCAGAGCAAATCATTCGGGCATGCCTGCGTTGGTGAGAAAGGCTGAAGCATTCACACTTGATATAAATCTAATTTTTTAAATTTTGCCATGAGAAGAGACTCAAACGGTATTTTTCTCATGCTACTAAAAGACATTTTGGGATTAATATTACAATCCTAGAAGTAAATTATTTTAAAATTAAATACAGTTAATGCTACCAAAAACCAAAAATAAATCTGGTAAGCGTGGTAAGGAGTTTGTCAGGATGAAGTAACTTTTCCAGTCTAAGATTTAATGCTGGTTCTACACATGGAGCTCTTAATTGCCATTGTACTATTTCAGATGAGCTTTCTTGCCTCGGGGCTTTAATAAAATCCACCGACTTCAGTGCTTAAAAGCTGGCAGAGTTGGCTGTGTCAGAGTAGAGATGAAGTTCCTTCATCAGGAGACCAAAGTTTTGTACAACTCATGCCTGCAGTGGTGACAGTTTTCCAGTGGGAAAGGACAGCATCACCATTCAGTCACACACCAGTGTTAACACAGACATTCTCGGGTGGCCTGGGACAAGTTCTTCAACCGGGGGGGGAAAAAAAATCTCCCTTTTTCCCCTTTTAGGTACTGGTAATACTGTCATCGAGGCTGTCAAAGTTCTTGTAGAACATGGCGTACAACCCAGTGTCATTATCCTGCTGAGCCTATTCTCCACACCGCACGGTGAGTGGAGGGGGTGCGAGGGGGGCAGAGGAGCGAGCGCAGGGGCCTGCAACGGGGAGGAGGTGCATCAGTCGCGCGCGGCTCCTTTGCAAACAGCGATAGCGGCACCGCTTTGCTCAGAACAGGGTTGGGTATGGTTTTTTTTCTGAATTGTAAAACAGAGTGAACAGCGAGGTGTTTGGCGTGGGCAGTGGAGGGGGCTAGCGGAGAGGAAAAGGCCCTATTACACCTAACGGCAAACCTGCAAATGGTCCAGTATTCCTAAAAGCAGGAATTTGCAGTGCTGGCAGGTACGCAAAACGCTTCAGCGGCTCACAAAGCACCGCCGGCCCTGCTGTTGCTCTGGGCTGTAGCAGCCCGCGGAGGGCGTTGAGCTGGTCCGCCAACCAGGAGAACGCCAGTTCTGTCAGGGGCGCGAGGGAAGCGAAGGTACAGAACTGCCCCGTCTGCACGTTAGAGAGCGTAACCTGTACGAGGGGATCCAAAAAAGGAACATCTGTTTCTGTGAGGTAGGAGAAGGGATCTTGTGTGTTCTTTTAAAAATTGGCCATGGCAGAAATCACGATCAAAAAAGCCAGCTGAACTGCAGGGAGCTATTCCTGGCAGCCCGTAACCACTTTGGTGATTAGACTGGGAGTATACGTGTATGGTAAAGAAAAGACAAATCCAAATAAGAAAACCCAGCAAAGCAATCCACTGAATGCAGGAAGTTTTTCCTCACAGCCAGTCAGCTAAGGCAGAAACATGAAGCGCAGATGGACGAACCGAGCCTGACTTACCTAGGGAATTGTGCTAATCATGCTTTAACACCTGGTGCTGAAATACAGCTGCAGGGCTGTAGTCATTGTTGCCTTTGCCTTCTCTCAAAAGGTGCCAAATCCATCATCCAGGAATTCCCAGAGATCACGATTTTAACTACAGAAGTTCATCCTGTCGCACCAACGCACTTCGGACAGAAGTATTTTGGAACAGACTGACACACTCGGAACAGACGGATAGGACTATAGGATGTTACAAGAGGTTTTTTTCTACGTTTTATTATTGTCGAGTTGGTTGAGGGCATGTTTAAAAATCTTTTTGGCCAAAGGGGGAAACGCTTGGCTTAGATGAGCTCTGGTCAGTCACTGCCTGAGCACGGGCCTTGCAGAGTCCAGCATCTCAATGCTGGGGTTCTGTAAACGGCGACACTCTCTGCTTTAACTTATTTATTCTTCTATAGCCTGCCTTGTGGCTGCTTGCAAGAGGAAAATAAAACGACTGAATCACAAAGGTGTGCGCTTCATTTCTAGAAGTAATGCTTCCGTTGCTGCAGGTCAGAGGTACAGCCCCTCCTAACGCTCCCCAGGCGACGGGTGCACGGGGAACTCGATGTCACTCTTAGCAGCCGCACTGAATTTTTGGCAGAATTTTCAGTCTCTGGATGGCGGCCAAGAACTAAAGATACAGCTCTCTGAATTTTGCTCTGCATAGGTTATTCTCAAATACTAAACCATCCACAGCTGTCTTGCTCAGTGGTACCGAATAAAGCAGCTTCCTACTGCAGCGCGCGGGCCCTGGCAGACGGGGCGGGCAGCGAGGGTGGGAGCAGCGCTGCCTACCGCCATTCCACACAAACACTGCCTGAGTTTTGTCTTTTAAAGCCTCTGCGGTTGAGTCGCTGTCGCTAGCGCTTCTACAGAAAGGAAAGCTCTGGCGAAAAGTTGGACTCAAGTTCTAGCTCAGTTCACAGAGAAACGGGGCTTGAAGTCAAAAGCCAGCCCTGGCCCTCAGGCTTAGCACCCCGTCCAACACCCGCCGCAGTCACTGCATCGATCAGATCAAACATAAAGCTGCAGCCAAATACTTGGCTTTGGCTTTAACCCCCCCGGCACCAGGCACACAAAGTCCAACGCTTAAACTCGCTAGGATCTTACCTTACTGTGACTTGGAGAAAATGTATCTATAAAGACAATCTAGTCCATTATTATTATTTAAATTATCCATATTCTAAGAAGTGCAGGACCACAAACGTCATCGCAGGCGGAGCGCTCCGTACCTCGTCAGGTGAGCAGAACGCAAGGGCCTGGGCTCTGCGAGGCCTCGAAGACGAGGGGCAGCGGTCAGCCGGTCCTTTCTGCGCCACGTGAACCTTCCCCGCTCCGAGCAGTGATTCCAATTCATTACAGCTGTGTAAGGCTCCCAGAGAGAATGTTCAGCCTGAGCGTAGGCTAAGTCACAGGAAAGAACCATTCACCAGTATAACAAATTAGCCAAAAACGGTTTTAATGCAGTCCTTGCCCGCAGCGCGGTATAAACCGTGCAGGCTTTCTAGTATAAACCGTAATAGAAAACGACAAAGCAGAAGGTACGGGATATTCAGCGGTAGAAACCATACAAACACTCAAAAATGCCAGGGAAACGTACACAAAGCATTTGTAATAAAGTCGGAATGTTTGTCGGACGGTAAAAAGGAGCATCCACGGCTTTTGTAAAAACCCATTTGAGATCCCAAGTCTCGATGCCGGCAGCAGCATTAAACTGAACCCGACAAAACGCCCCAAACGTCGTCGGCAGCCGTCCGTGACACTCGCTGGAGAATGTTTACTTCCTAGTAAATGAAGGGCTGAGAAATCGGTATTAAACAACGTAGCTCTGAGCGGCACGCCCGTAGCTGAGCAGAGCGGCGTGGATCGACACAAGATACTCGGAAATAGCACCAGCGGGCCAGAGGGGCTAGCTAAAAGGCAGCTGAACGTGACAACAAATCCATACCGTGACGTTTATGTTACCGTTCGCAAGGATTTAGCAGCTGTTGGCCCAGAGCCCGCTAAGGCAGCCTGCCGCCACGGGGCAAGGGCCTTGCGCTCCGGCGGTTTGCGGGGCCGGGAGCTCTCGGGTCCCCGGCGGGAGAGGGAGCGGGTCGGGTCCCCCGCGGGGCCTCCTGCCCCCAGAACAGCTCTGGCGGGCGGCGTCCACTCCCCCCGCGCCTCCCTGCCTTGGCAAAGCACCAGCGAGTGACGGCACTCGCTTCACCTCGAAGCAAGGTAAAAAAACCCTAACGCTGAATTCCAGCACACGGATGGCGCCGCGATTATCTCATCCTGAGACTTAATTCAGTTTTATTTTTGAGGGACCCATTTTCACAACAAACAATGAGTCACCTTCCGATGAAAAACAGCTGACTGACAGATAGAATAATTTACAAAATAACACGACCTTTTCTATTTCCTACGTCACTAGCAAAAGGGGAGCCGGTAGGAGTTCCCTGCTCCAGCAATCTGGAATGACTGCGGGACAGCTCCTGCTCGGACCGTCGGGGAGCTGGGCAGGCAGCCACGCGCTAACGTCACGGCTGCAGACGCGGGACGCCCGCGCGCGGAGCGGGCTCAGACCAGCACACCACCTCCCGCCTCCCTCCTCGCGCAAGCTCGTGGCCATAAACCCCGTATTCCTCCTCGGGGGAGGCCGAGGGCCATCGCACCGTCAGGATGCCAGGCGCTGATGCGAGGCATTTCTCTCTCCCACACATCCTAGAGGCTCCTGGATCCTCCAGAAAACATCCGGGGCGGGGGGAACACAGCAACGCTTCCAAGAATCCACTGGATTTTCCTTTCTCTTCCAAAGGGAAGTGCTGATCCGAGGAGGTGCCGCACGCACCTTCCCCGCTTTAGAAAGGGGATAGGGAGGACGATTTTGTTTACAGGCTTTGCGGGGGATTTAGCCCAAGGTTTAGCTCCAGAAAAGTTCAAGTCTAATAAAGTACCGAACCAGCAGGAACGCCTTCTAAAACAAGGCCTCATAAAATACCCGTGTGCTCTCTGAGCTGTTTGATACCGGCATTTGATGCAAGCAGCATTTCTTTTTAAGCGGAACTGGAATAAGAAGCAAAGATCCCTTTGGTTGGGTTTTTTGGGTTGTTTTTTTTTTCCTCCCTAACATAACTCTTCTACTTTTTCTTTTAACAGTAGCTGTTATCCACTCACGTTTTACAAATGCTGCTGTAAATCTTAAAACCTCATACAGAAAAAAAAAAATACCTTGAGCAGCATGAAAGCATAACCAACTTACAGGCTCACGTTGGAAATGTAAACTTACACTTTATTTCACAAGGTTTACATTCCAAACTGAAGCTAGAAAATGAAGAAAAAAGATTTTCAGGGAAGAGAGAAAAGCAACGCAGGGAAGTTGGGTCCCACTGCAAAAGCAAAAGCAAAAGCAAAGCAAGCTGAGCCTGAGCGATGAGAATGACAAACATGAAGGTTCATTACAAATCAAATACCTGGCACGACTGCTTCAAATGACACCTGCTCACCTTCATAGTAACCAAAAAACTGGCACAAGCAGAGGAAAGCTGATAATATTTTAACTATATATTCAGGAGGACGAGGAAAGACTCGCAAAGGGAGACGGAATAAGGACAACAGGAATAAAACTGCGTGACAGCGGGTGCGATCTCCACGTTCATTACCAGCAAAGGAACTAAAGCGTTAAGCCGGACGAGGACGTGGCAATGCCGGGACCGTGCCACGCTCGTCGCTGCCAAGCTGGCTGACAGACCATTACTTGTAACCAGAAAAGCCACTCTACCGTGTAAATGCTTTAACTGACGGTTTCAGACCAAGTTTATTTTTGCGAGTGTTCTGGAACAAAACAGCAGCTGACAGGATTGGAAAAACGGCACTAAAAGCAAGGTATTTTCAAGTACTATGGATCAACTTCGAAAATTTGTACCACAGGAGTCACTGAAATGAAAACGTGACCCTTCGAGTTAATTAACTCTGGCTTAACGACGAGGGTCAGCAGTACCTCCTCAGCCTGCTCATTCACCGCTGTCCTGAACGAGCCAGCTACGCAGTCAGTCTGTCTGTCCTGCGGCCTAACGACCACGCGGGAGGCGGCAGGTCCCTGAATACATCTTTGCACATCATTCTTTATATCTGAGGTAAAGTCTTTTTTTTTTTTCCCTGACACTTTACATTCATATCACGTTACAGACTTTATGCATCAGGTTCGGTAACTAATACGAAGCTGTGCTTTCAGTCCACGCCAGCAGAGAGAACTAAAAAGCTACAGCTAGCACAGACTTTGCTGAACCCCATTTCTGGTTTGAGCCAGGAAGCAAACACTCGGTGCCAGAGCGCTCTTCGGAAGCTTCCCGGTTCCTTCAGCGCCAGCACACCGCAGGCACTGGGTGCAGCCTGCTGCAGACACACAGTGCTGCTCCCCGCTAAAGGAATACCGTCTTACGCTGCTCCAACAACCCGCCGTACCAACTCAGCAAGAGACAAAACAAAACTGCGGTGCAGTGAGGCTTACGGAGTCCGAGCTCGTCGGACAGGACTCGCTGGCCAAGGAGAGGACTTACCACAATACAATCCATAGAAACATCCATATGATGTTTCGTCTATTTTTTCTTTTTTAAAGAGTACAGTGTACCTGAACGGAAATGGGAGAGAAGGGGGAGAGGTGAGGCGGCGGTGGTTAGCGGTCAGGTATTTTGGGGCATCAGTCCAGGAGGAGGGGGATGAAAGCGAGCAGCTCCAGCAGGAGCGTTCGTTCTCCCACACAATGACATCCACTTGGAGAAGTCGCTCGTAGCCGAGAAAGTCCCCGCTCACATGAAGGGCGTGAAACGCGTTGGTGACGTGCTGACGTACAACCAACCAACGGGCCAAAGGGAAGGTAGAAGATGCTGCACCTGGGTTGAACTCTCACACTTCTGTGCCCCGATTTAAGCTAACAAAACCATGGCTGTGTTCAGCCCTTTCAGAGATGCTGCTGGTGACACCTGCAACGCTGGCTGTCACGCAAGCCATACACATTGCTACCCGATGACTGCTGGCAGAATTACAGCCGGCGTCCGGCAGTCCTATTCCAGCTTCCACAGTCTCGTCGGATCCACCTCCCTTGGCTACATTAAGCTAAGCCAACAAAATTGTTCTCTAAATACAGGTGCTTCTACACCTCGAGCTCTATGGGCAGTATGAGATCCACTACGGACAACGGCTGCTTCTGACCCCGAGCTGAAAACCACTTCTTTTCTGCTTTATTCTCTAGCGTAGATCTGATGCTAAGCCAGAGAAAACGGCCCCTTGCGTGGGGTCAAGACAGTTGCCTTGCTGCTTCCACACTGCACCAGGCTGCAGTTCGACCGCTTAACAAGCGCTACAGTCGCACAACTTCAATCAGCATCCGGGTGAGGGTTGGGGGGTGGAAAACAAAGGAGATGCTGTAGTGGGTGTACCCCTTTATTTGCGCGTTAAAAAAACTACCACGTGCTTGGCCGAGTACCTTCTCTCTTCTGTTACCTGCAGCAGTGACTACAGACAGCCTGAGGAATTTCTATCTTCCAGTGCATTCACGCAGCACATTCGACAGAACTTTACGCATCCTGCATTTATCACATTCTTTGTGTGCAACTTTCTTTCAGAAGCAAAGGACAAAAAAGTCAATTTAAAAAGTAAATAGCAGCCCAGCTTTAAAAGCACAGGTAGCAGGGGGCGCAGTCAAATTACTGCTTTTACGCTGCCCAGATCTCTAGTTAGCAGCCTTTTCAAAGGCCAAAAATACTAATTGGAAAAACCGTGTTCTCCTTAGTAGGCCATCTGCAATTATGTTTGCGGCATCAGCTGCAATACCGCACCGAGCAAAAGGATCTCAGCATCGGTATTTCAAGAAACACCAAGTTTCCCCACAGGGATCTGACTGCTCATCTCCGTGCTGCCTGGGAGAACACAGATGCGTAATGTCTTCGGCCAACGCCACGCTGTCGCTGTATTCCTGGACACCCACCTCTCACTGCAGCTTTCTGCCCTCAGCTTTCACCCCGGGATGCAGAGGAACCCGCCCGGCGATTCCGCGGCTCTGGAAGGCAGCACAAACAGCACAAATGCCAGGCGCAGCAGAAGGATCTCTCCTTTAAGTAAGCAGGAGAGACCAACGTGGAGCTTGTTCGGTCACTCAGGCACGCGTGCTCTCCACATCTTGTTCTGCCTCATTTTCACACAACTTTTGTGTTTGCTTCATGTCTCATTCTGAGGCTTCCAAAAATCTGACGTGTGAATGCTGACCCGAAGCGGTTCTGAAGCTATCAAACGATTTATTGCTTCTACCTGGCCAGGAGTTTGTTATAACCAAGTGAGGCTGAGCTGCTTTTAAGGAAAGGGAAAAATCGGCCATAACTCACGACAAGAGAAGTTACTGAATAAGAGCGAGTTACTTGGAAACCTTTAAAGCTGTTTGTAAATCTGAGCTGGAGAGCTGCGTTACCATAAAGACATCTGTTTTAATAAGAAGAAGAGGACAAAAATCGATTTTATGCGCTACCTAACGCACGGCGCTGCAGGCAGACAGCAGGCAGGGGCACTGCCTGCAGATCCTGCAGGGAGCTCTGCTGCTGCTGCTGCTGCTCGGCAGAGAAGCGGCGCTGGAGGAAGGGCCCGGCTGTGAACAGGGCCGAAGCCAGAACGGGCACAAGAACCTGCTCAGAAAACGCCCGTAGAGCCCCACGGCTTCAGACACAGCTCGGATACTCCCATCTTCAGAATGCGCTTCGGCTGACGGAGTGGAACAGAAGGTCACCAAATCATCTCCCTGGCCGTCTATACAAGGAATTCAGAGTTTTAAAAGGCACAAATAGCACCTCTGCTGGTGCTGAGTTCCTACACATTTCCCGTTGTGTGCAGCTGCCATCCTCCTCTCAAGATCCCCCTCCAGAACACATTTTGCCGGAAATGAGGTGATTAATTCTACTGCCACCTTTCATCAAACACAGCTTCAAGTCCACCATGAGATTTACATTGGAAATGCAAGTTTAGATTGACAGGAAAAATCGTTTCAGCACTCGACAGCCCTTTGAGGACAGAACCACCCAACAGACGTGGCTGAAGTGGCTGAAGCAGAACATGCAGAGTGTTCAGAGAGCGGTGGCTCTCAGGAGAAGAGAGAGTAACCTGCACTAAGCCTGGGAGAGCCCATCCTGACTCCTAACAACTACACTTCAGCAACAAGCCATTCTACAGAGGTCTCTGCCTGCTCTACACCAGACTACAGAGGCTGATGTACACGACATCTGTCCGCAGGGCAGAGTTTTATACCAGGTAGTCAAACGTCTACTCTTATGGAAAGAGAATCTCTGCAAGACCCTCTTCTGCCTCACAAACACATTTCCACTGGTAGCAGTGGCAGAGTAAACAGCGGAAAAAAGGGATTTAGTATGTAGGCAAGGCCTTTGTCACCAAAGAGATACTTATCAGGTAATATGACATGCACAACTGCTTCGTAGTCACTGTCAACACAAATGAGCTGATAAACAAACACAAAAACGAGATAGGAAATGGTAATGAATGACCTTAGACGCAGTATACTAATACTTTAAGCATGCACCTAATTCAAACATGAGTAATGGAATTGCCAGGTCTGAATCATGCAGATAAAAAAAGACTCAGGTCTAGAAAAATGCATATAATCCTGCCAGCAAATTCGCAGTTCCATTCCACAGAATCAAACTGGCGATACATTCCTTTGACTGCAAATGGAGCAAAATGAAGAAAAAATGTGATCACCTCTTAGGGCTGAAAAACCGTTAAACCACCAGTCAATGAGTTTACTTAGGAAGAAGTTTGAAAAAATTCAAGACATCAATTCTCTCTTCAGCATTACGGGACTAAAACCACCTTTGTGGCACGTAAACTCCAAACACACAGAGTTGGAGCTAAACTTTTCAGTGCACGTCTCCAACTCATGTTTTGAATTTACATCTTCCTTTCTGACTCCATAAACACACACATTTCCATCAAACACTGATGCAGGAATGAGTTGATCTTTTAGCCCTAGGAATTAATGCAAACTGCACTGTCTCAAGTTCTCTTTTGCATTTTAGGTGCCTGCAAGTAGGACTGGGCTTAAAGGGCACTATAACTCAAACTCTAAGACAATTATACCCTCCTAAAAAAGCGTTAAAAAAAATCTATGGCCACAATATCCTTGAATCTTGATACTGGCAATGCGAGTATTTTATTTTCACCCACAGCTGCACATGTATATATGCATGTTCAGCACTTTTTCTTTCGACACACTTACATCCAACTATCAATTTAGTGCCAAATTTAAGTGGGTCTGTCTCTCACTGAGTTGAACTCACTCAGACAGAACTTTAAAAACGGTAGAAAATGCCACTTGTCAGAGAAGGTTGGAGAATCAGTCTCAAAATAAATACCACCCCTAAGCATATTATGGCTTGGAAGAATTTCAAGAACTCGAGTCCCTGATGTTTGCAAAATGAAAAGGCCTTTGGAAATGCCCTTGCATCAATACTTTTTACCTATTTGAATAAAAAATATATATTATTTATAAAATAAAGAGAGCAGGCCAAAGAAGATTGGCCAGAATCATTCTATAAAACTGTTCTGTTCACTCCGTAACTTAAACTTATAAAGCCTTGAAACATCTGGGTAGCAGGATTTCTGGAGAAGCACTCTAGAATGCAGATTTCAATCAGACGATACTTCATGATGTTTTCTCATCTTGAAGATCCACTTGTTTTCTGCCCCTCAAAACTGAAGTCCATGCCAAGAGAAGGGATGTTGACTCCTGAGAGGGAAGCTGAAATTTAAATAAAGAAAAATGTGCAACAATAAGCACTGATCTGATGAGCCACAGATGGCTGTCTAATCTTGACTTTGAGCATCGTTTTAAAGCCATGTAGAACGACAGGGAAAATGCTGCTTTTTCACTCCCTCAGTAGAATGGCAGTAAGCAATCCTCACTGACTATCTCCCTAAGTAGAAAAAAGATTTTGGGGTTTTTCTTCTCAGAGGGAGAAAATGGCATCGCATCTACCGTATGCAAGAAGCCCATTTATAAAAATCTCGAGTTGCCCTATTCGTGTGCAGACCTGGGCAGTAGGTTACAGTGCTTTGCCGCACAATACAGTTATTCGACACCCGCCAAAAAGAGAGGGGCAAATTCTATCTGACTATTCCACCTCCCCCAAAACGTATGACCTGTTGTTGTACCCGAGTTTCTCCAGGGTGAAAAAAAACTAGATAAGCAAGTAAAGGCTGACATGGGCATTTACAAGTTACTTCCATTTATTCCTAACTGCAACTTGGCTGTTCTCAACTTCAGTTTCTTTCAAGACTGTATCTGCACCTTCCCAGACCTTTCATGAATCACTGAACAGACTTCCAGTCTTGTAATTGTACAAGTTAGTGGCAAGAGTCGTTCCTGCCACGTTTAGCAGAGGAGCTGCGGGGTTTGGATCCTCCCCCACAAACCGTGCTTTCGGCTCCTGTGTTAACTGTGCCAACATCCAGCCCAGGGCCACGGGGTAGCCACTGTTTTCTTTCAGGTTCTCTTAATATATTTCTGGACAAGATGGAGAAACACTGGTGAAATACTACCCTGCACAGACGCACCAACACAATACTCTGGTGAGAGGGTCTCTGCCCCCGATGGCGTGCCGCTATCACAGCTGCACCACTCCAAAGCCAGCGTGAAGGCCTGCACCCCGCAGCCTTCAGCACGAGGATGACTCTGCCCGAGCACCGTGGGGTGTGCTGCTGGTAAAGTCAAAACCCTCTAACATTACCCACCAACTTCCCTGCAAAGCGGCTGTTTCGAAGGTAATGAAGAAAGAAATACTGACCTTTCTGAGCAAGCTTTACACTGCTGCATTTTCAAACTGCTATGTCTCCCTTTCTATGGCAAGGGATGAAGCTTCACCGGCATCTATAGAATGAAAAACAAAGTAGTTAGAGGTCAGTAAATCTGTTTTTCTCACTGAGAATATATTTTTCACTAAGTGTGGGAGTGTGGTTTTAAGAAGCATTCCAAATAAAAATAAACAACCAACGACTTGTCAGAGCTAACTGAACAGCAGCTTTTTAAACTGAGATTACTCTATTATTAGCTTTATCAATTTTACAACTATGTCACCAGCTTTAAAGCCAGAAAGACAAATAAAGATCTTTCAATTTTAATGGACCATTACGGGCCTTTCTGCTTAGAAAATTATACTGGTTTGCTTCCATTGTGTAAGTTGGAGTCTGAAAACTCTAAGCTTAGAGCACTTCATTTGCTAATGCCTTACAAAAAAGAAAAACAGTGGTGAGAAAGCAAGGAAGAGTAAAACATCATTTGTGCCTCCAACGCAGTCTCCTAAAACCCTTCTGTCAGACGGGAGCCAGGGTGCCAAAGCTTAACGAACCAGGGAATCGCGTTCTCTGAATACCGTTGGGTTAATACAGCCATGGTAGAAATACACGGTAATACATTTCCTGCACTCGTGGTAAGTTTATTCCTAAACATTTTCACTTGCAAAATAAAAACGTCATTTTTCTATGAAGACACACAGTTTCAGCCCAAATCTTGGGAAACGGAAAGCTGTGGAGGTCAGACTTAAGCCCTATATATGCAGCACAGAAATTTCTACTTTAAACCTATGTAGAGAGGTTGAGGCAGTTGGGCTTGTTTCACCTGGTGAAGAGGAAGCTTGAGGTCAATCTAACAGCAGTCTACAACTACGCGGAAACTGTTTAAAATGACAACTGGCCTGAAAGCAGCTCATACCTCATATTCAATGGAAACAGCATCCTGCTGATCGTAGGCAACAACACTTCTGCTCTACTGTAGAACTGTATTATTACAGTAACTAATACCGAAGAAACTCAAAACAATTTATATGCATAAATCTATCTTCATAACCTGCCTGAGAGACGGGAAGGTTATCATGCTGTATTTCTCCCCACCTGCAAAACATTGTTAAGTGAAACACTGTCCTATTAAAAAAAAATAAATCTGTGGCAGCTATAGGAATAAGATCTAATTCCTAAATTCATACTTCTAGAGTTGTTCCCACGCCTGCCAAAAACAGGATTTCAAAACTATATTGCTCTGTAGACATACTGATCTCCCACTGTTCAGTTTTAAAATCCAGAGTTCGCTGTAAGACATGATGGTCAAAATGCACAAACGGCATCAAGCAGCGTCAGAAATCAATTTGCCACAGACCTTTCCTTAATTTTCTCCAAATGAATTTTCTTTGTGAAGGTAAAGAAAGAAAAACAAAAAGCAAACACTTGCCCCTTACTGCTCAGATACATACACAATAAATAAATTTGCCTAGGGTTCTTGTTTCCTTCTTATGCATAAAAAGAATCAGTGCTATTTCCATTATGAGGTTATTTTCCTGTTTATTAGCATAGACATCTATTTTACCATGCAAAATCTAATCCATTTATTCAGATGGGAAGTTCCAGAGAACAGCCCTTTATTCCGCATAGCTTTAGGACAGCATACGATCTGAATGTCAAAGGGAACTGATAAAAGGATATATTAGACCTGCCGGCTCTGGGACATTAGTCTCACTGAAATTTCACTACCAGCTTGTTATGGAATATCTTTTTTCATCTAATTGATTTAGCAGCTGCAGGTCTGATCCACATACAAACCATGTTGGTTTTACTAAATATATTTACCAATTAGTTTAGTCGAACTGATGAAGATTCCTACACAGGTATCCCTCCGTTGTTTCAAAACTGATTATAAGGCAGTCGTCGATGCAGGGTTTCGCACTGCTTTAACTTAATCTTTTTCTGTCAGACACAATTTAACCATTTACATCGTGCCTAAAATCCAGAGATGCAAACCTAGCCTTTTGTCTCAGTTTACTGAAGTGGCCAAGACGCCGTTGTACTGTCTGAGCAATCTCTGCTCACTTCTGACATCGAAGCAGCTTTTTAAATGTCTCAACGGATAGAAATTCAATCCCTTCAGTCGCAACAGATGACTTCTCTACTCGAAGGACTGCTATGCCAAATTAGCTGGTATCTCAGGACAGGAAGCTCCTTTAATTAGACTCCTACCGATTTGAATTTAAATTCAAATCGCATGCCTTCCGACACCTGAAGCTTCATCACACCAACAGAGATAGCGAATTCCACCTATTACTCAGGATACACTGGTTTCTGCTGGAAAGATGTTACTTAGTACAGATGACAAATTTTTGAAGATGAGAACAATCTGGGAAAGATTTGATTCATACTGAAGCCTTTTGTACAGCTTTAAATGAAACACATGTTTAAACTAATAAATCAATCTAAGATTGATGTTGCTATAAATGTAGAGAAATGGCTGTCCTGTCCCAGGCTCCACAAGACAAAGAGTGGAAGCATTCACAGTACCGACACACCCACGACCAGCATGGCAAATACATCCTACGTGAGTCCTTTGAAAAAACGGATAACCTTATAAGCTGCCAGCATGTGATTCGGGGTAGCTCTCTGGCTAGACAGATTAAACAGATGCCTATGAATAAGGGATGAGCATTAATAAATCTGAAAAAAAATCCAAATTACCATTTGGAAGCAAGTGTTTTCAGTCTCTGGCTAAGAAATGAAACTACAGGCTCCCCACAATATTTATCTCCCTACATGAAACAACAAAAGCCTTAGCAAGGCCAGGATTAAGGAAAAAAAAAAAATCCAACCAGGAAGGGCACATTTAAACATCCATATCACAGAAAAAAGGACAACCCTGTGGATAAGGTGACTGAGAAGATGGCCTGCACACTCCTGGGACCTAGACAAAGCTGCCTCCTCTCCTTGCTTTCAGTTGGCTTTGTTGGCCTCATGAATCTCCCAGTCCCCGTAATGCTCATCTCCCCCAGTATCCACGTGTGAGCTGATTTTGCAATTGTGGGGGCTTAAAAATGCCCTGCTTTCTGCAGATACGGAATAATCAGGGTGGAAGCAAAAGACTGCAATAATGCAGTTAGGCACAATAACGTTACACAAAGAAACGTTTCATCAAGCTCCTCCTTTTTGCGTTATTTCTGTGGTGTTTCTCTCCCTTCTGCACGAGGAGACCCCTCATTACCCCTGCTGCATAACCCAAGTGCACGAGCAATTACAGGTGCAACTCCAGGAGGTGAGAGACCCCACTTAAATACAAAAGGACAGTTGTTATTCGGATCTTGGTGCAGCTGGCAGTGCCATCTCCTCAGGCTGCAGGACTGAAAAATCTGAACTTTCGTGTTTCCTCAACTCCTGCTTTGCTGAACGTCCAGGTAATAGAAAAAAGGACCAACCTGGTACCTTTTCTTATACAACTCCCTCTCCCCCAGCATCTTTCGTGTTAATCAAAAATGACAGAGAGGCATTTGTTATTTGTGCTAGCAGAATGGTACAGTCAAGAGCTTAGAGAAAAATGCTCCACAAGATGGATTTTTGCTGTATCACAAAACTACTTACTCAAAAATATTTTACGTGTTATACGGTTGGACTCGATCATCTTAAAGGTCTTTTCCAGTCTGAATGATTCTATGATTCCTGAATCAATCGTGACCCTACCTGGTGGTCATGCGGAGCCACAGAACTTGTAGAGTGCAAGATTCAGGCAACCCTGCCTGTTGTGGAGCTTTTTGATGCAAGCTCCGTGCATCGCTCTGCTCGCGAAACTGGATCGGCGGCAGGGCTGAAAGCTGCACTACAAGCGTCAGCTGCCCTCAGTCCTGCAGCGCCGGCCGCAGAAGCATCCAGGGAAGGGTGTCAGCTTCCTCCCCTCCCAACCACATGCGCTCCCCCCAGTCTCCATGTGGGATTTCATCTTGCAAAATTCCGACATTCAGACTGAGAGCTGAGAGGAGGATTTGCCTGTTTGTAAGAAAAATAAAGGGAAGTGGATTTCCCCCAACATTTGCTCTAGCAGCTGAAGTCCAGTTCCACGTCACGGATTTGTAGACATAAAAAGGACACAATCTCCTTATCTAGGGCATTCTTTTATTTGCAGTTCTCACCTTTACCTCACAGCCACTGCAGAACAACTAACACTTCTCCAATCGTGGAGCAAGAGCTGCATACTAACAGCTAGCCGCCTACTCACAACGTGTGTTCAGCCTGTTTTTTCACTTTGGTCTATAACTTTGTACAGGCTCAGTTTGGCTTTTATATTACAGTAAGACGTTCTAATTTTACCAATATTACAGTTCTACAGCTTCTTGGAATAAGGTTGCAAACTATTTTTTTCACTGAGAAAGACTAATAGAATAGAACAGAATATTTCAGCTGGCAGGGACCTCCAACAATCACCTAGTTTAACTGCCTGTAAATGTCCTTTATTTTATAAGCACTATAAATTGTGGGACTTCATATAAGCTACAGATTCAGATTCTGGGGTCTGATCTGGCCAAAAATCATCTCACGGTCAAATGTTTTCATACTTAAGAATTAATTTTTTATTCAGGGAATTCATACTTTGTAAAAGTTGGAAGAAGTTCCAACTGATTTCTAAAGGAGTCATTTTAAGCATCATAAGAAATAAACAGAGATGCCGTATTTGGTTATTTTTAAAGCCAATTTGTGTTACCTTATAACTGCCAAAATGTACAGAACAAAACAGGAAGAGCAGGTAGTTTTCTAACACACAAACACGAACTAATTAAAGCAGTTAATCTGAACAAAAGCTGAAATGAGCCTCTTCAGCCCTACTGACAAAATCCTGGATACTATGTTTTCCCAGCAGCATGTGAAGTGTGCCTTGGAAAAAACACAGACTGTTTATTTTCCAGTGGAATAACTTGAACACACAGCTGCAGGTAAGACCTAACCAGAGACTGAACAGCAAATACTGGGCTGTTAGGATTCAAGAGCTCATTGCACAGTACGTTGTACACGTATAGAAACGTTGACATGAAAAGTTTCCCCCTTTAACTAAGACTACAGTCTTCCTCACAGGTTTCCAAACATACATGGTGCACCTATGACTAAAATGCATACCCTGAAAGGGAACATTATCAGCCAAGTATCTGAAAACTATTCTGAGGCAATAAAGAGTGCAACTATGGAAATCACGTCTCTGAACAATAAGGCAGTGGTATTTGGTTTTCCAAGTATACTTGCTTGATCCACTAATTATAGTAATCGGAGAATTACCTAACACTTTTACCATTCCTTAAAGGGAAAAGAAGAATGAGAATATCGTATTTCTTTTAAAGGGAACCTGTGGATGGAATCCTTGCTCCACAGGAGAAAATATGAGCCCATGCTTAACTGACTGACAGGACTTCCGAACCCTCGGACATGGTAACTGGGGTCTCTGACATGAACCCTGATATTTGGATACATACTGTACTCCCCAAGAGCAAAGCTTGGAGGTAAATATGCAAGGAAAAAATCAAGTTCAAACAGAGAAATGTAACAGTAAAGAATGATTAAACTAATTTTGGATCCATCTAACAAAAATCAAAGAATGGATTTACATATAAAGTCTCTTTTCTAATAGGACACCCATAGTATAAAAGGCATGCTTACGTTTCAGGAACTGATCAAATCTATTGTACAAACACGCCACTTCACCTAGAATTGCTCTCAGCACGTACGTTTCTTCCATGGAGATTAGTGCCTGGCTAGGCAAGCATCAAAACCAAATGAACTTCTTTACTCTTGTAATTAAGCAGAATAAAGAAAGTGTAAAGTAGCTTCCTGAAAGTATCACTGCATTCAGGTGTCTGCATGCATGTTTTCACAAACTCTCAGAGCATAAATGCACTTTAAAAAAAAACAACCCAGTCTTTTCATTTTTACAGGCACGACTTCATGTCTCCAATAACTGTGCTGCATGCAGCAACATTTACATATAAATACACTCAGTCTGCGGAAATCTCAATTTCTCTCTGCAACTTGTAACCACCTCTCTGTTCATTTACTTGCAAGTAGAAAGCTACTTAAAAAAAAAAAAAAAAAAAAAAGATCTGACTCCAAAAAGTAGGGCTTATTTTTAGTCTGTGTTCATTAGTCAGGTCAGAGCGGCCCAGTGACTTAGCCAACACAATTTTTTTATTTGATTAGCTCTTATAATTCATCCATTAGTCAGTGTAGGCCAAGACACAACTGATTTCCTTTAGCGTTACCTTACCATGAGGCTCTTCATCTATTCCATCATCTTCCCACTGCTCTTCGTTTGCTAGGAGAGGATTCTGAGCTTCACAGAAAGCTCTCATTGGGAAAAAATGGCCATCGCCCTGGCTGCATGGAAAAAGGCAGAGAAAGACACTGTAGAAAGCAGCAAGTGACTCTGATGGATGACGATTTCTGCACGTTTTATCTGCAAACAAAGTTTTCTGTTCCCTGTACTTCTGATGTTTACTTAAAATTATTTTTAAGTTTTGAAAAATACTGTGATTATTTTTTCTGGCAGCTCAGATACCAAGTTTTACTGGCGAGTAGTTTTGGTCCTCAATTCCTTCAAGCTCTCTGGAGAATAAAAGTTCAAACCTATAGCCTGGAACGCAGTAATTTTAGCAGAACTTAAATGTGCCTAACTTGGTCAAGTCGTTTGGATACAGAAAAAAAAAAAACAGAAAAAAATTAACTTATGGACAGCTAGAAGTGAGGGGGGAACTAAGGAAAACATTTATGTAGAAGGACCAATTTATACCATAGATTATTTATACCACAGATTTATTTATACCATAGATTTTTATTTATTTATACCACAGATAAATTTTATCAATTTATACCATAGATTCTTAAGGGCAGAAATTACCCTTCTGTGTTTGAACAACTCAATAGAAGATGGCCCCAATCTTAGTTAGATGTTACTGAACAGCAAATAAAAGACGCACTTTCCTGTAACCTAAACCTGTACATAAAATGGGGGAAGAAAACACACTCTGCAAAGATCTAAAGTTGCAAAAGCTTTTTTTGCTTTACTACTGCCCGAATAGAAACGTGTATCTGGATCCCAAACAAGAGCTTGAGAGTATGTTCAAATTCATGTAATGTAAACTCACAGAGTTAAAAAGTAGATGTTCCAGCTTGGTCTGCACCCCACTGTATCCCGTAACACCCAGGAGCAGAGACAGAGGAACTGTAAACTAGCTGAAGTGCCTTTTTCCTCTGCTGATTTATCTTTGTGGAAGGAAAATAACCCGACCGCTCTCCCTGCGATGACTATACACACTGGTAACGCGCCGCTGACTAGCACTTCAGTGCTAGGAACGGTAAGGCTTTCTGTGCTGATCTCTTCCCTTTAACTATACTTAAGAGTGGAAAGCAGATGGCAGGGGGGATGCAACTGGGCCTGAGACTTATACATTGCTACTTGAAAACGTTGTGAACTGCTGTGCCAGGAAGTTATTTTAAATTGTGCCCAATTACCAAAGGAATTAAATTCCACTGTACTTTACTACTGGTCTACTCAGGGCCAAAACAACATTTTCCCCTACGTTAAGAAACAAACTCTCTTTCAGGCAGAGGAGTCTGACAGATGGAGAAAGCGGCATTTTTGAAGCGAACCCCCATCCACACACGTGCCACAGGAGCCCAGGAAGAGTTCAGACACCCTGTGCAGTGCATTCAGCCCTCAAAAACCTTTCCCTTCCAGACTTCTGGCGAACAGGATTAACACAGATAATGTTTGTTGGTGCATTTACAATGAAGCAGGAGAGTAGCTAGCCAAGCCACCCAGTAATAGGTGTAATACATGAGGCTGTAGCAGATATTTATAAGTCAGTCCCTTCAGTTAATTGTATCAGCTTTTAGCACAGGCTTGATTATTACTTACCTAGAGGCAATAGGTAGTAACCAGAGCTTTTTTTCTTCTCCAAACACTTGCTGAAGATTCTTTACAAAGCCAAGATTGAATCCATTTTTATCTGGGCCATTTTGAAACACTGGAGCTGAGAAAGCCTCTACACACAGATGCAATTAGAGTGAAAAAAATGAAAATCAATGCCAAATACTCTGAAACAGGATTATGCATATTGTAGCCATCTAAAGACAACATGATTTAACAGATTATGAACTAGGATTACGAAGATATAAAGTTTGAAAAGAATAGTTTTTTCATTTTGCAAGCCTGTAAAGACTTTTGAACTGAAGGTAGGAATTTGGTCTTGCAACTGAACCGTATGGAACAGTCAAACCAAACTAAAACCGGTTTGTTTAATCTAGAGAATAGAGTTAAGAGACCTTTGCGTGAGACTTGTTGAAATTCAGTGGGTAGAAATTTCTAAGTAAAAAAATCTGCAGAATTAAGTAGGCTGGTCTTCAGTGCGTATTTCAGAGGTGGCACTGGAGATTTAAATTGCCTCATTCATTAATGATATAATTAACAGCATTAGGAACAAACATATGCAAATAGACCCTCTGTTATGGTGAGACATAAAATTGAGCAAAAAGAGGGGAGGAGAACCTAGAGTGCACTAGAAACAATTTTATCTACCTTCTAAGCTGCTGCAGAGGTCTGATGTTTTGGGATAGATGAGCTTCAGTGCCAAAGTTTCAAAGTTAATAACTGTGCAAAATCTGAATACGTGCTCACACTCTTGACACTGTGTGTTTTGTTATAAAACTATCCAAAAAGCTTTAAAAATTGAACAACATTTATCTGAAGAAAGACAAAGAAATCACTCGACAAAATCATACTGTTTCAGATTTTCATTTCATTGGTTTTACAGTCGTAACTTCTTTGCCGTTGTCAATGAAGACGGACACTGTTTTTCCCAACATTACTAAGCTGTTTTAGGATGCGCTCCAGCACATGAGCATAAAGAACCATTATTCCTGGAAAGCTGCACTCATTTCACAGCAAATGTAGTTATACATATGCATAACATTTTTATAATTGGACTTTTACACTTTAAGGCTCTCGTTTCCCTAACAAAGCTTTTGTCACACCAGCTAATAAATGCAGCCTATTTGAAGTGACAAATTTCTGCAGCATTGTGCCAAGATCGTAAATCTTCCTCCCCTCATAAGC